AAAGGCCGACGCGTACGCGGCGCGCGGGCAGTTTTCAACCTTGGAGTGTGTGCACGCTCGGCCAGCGATCACACGCGCGATAATTGCGCGACCGCCTTCGTCCTGGAGCAGATATTACTATAAAGCACATTTTACGCGCGTGACGGACCTTCAAATTGCATTCCAATGTGTCCCATGATATTGTCTCCATCACGAAATGATGCCAGTGGATTATCCGTCAGAGTAGCATTCAACGCACGAGCATATACGTACATGGCATCATGAAGTTGACCAGCGTAAGCACCTGCCTTGAATAAGAGAAAAAGCTTTATGAGAAAATCCATGAAAAGCAGGACCCTACCTTCGAAAACTCTTCACCCTTGCAGTCTTCGATGCAATAAAATGGTGGTTCTTTCATGCGAGCGATTACAAGTTTGCTAAAAATCTCGTAGTCGTCAGTCTCTTCTCCCGCGCCCATGTGCTGCAAAGATTCTACTCTCAGTGCTGGATACAAAGAAGCTAAGTGACTTGCTATCAAAATATTAGGTTGTCCCAAAAGTAAATTCTTTTTTATTTAAAGCTGTTTCTGTCTTCCTACCAGATCTAGGGTACCGCTTGATACGGTAAAGCAATTCTACAAAATGGAGGATAGAGATCCACCTAAGTCATAATCCAGGTAAATTTTGGAGCTAAAATTCGAAATTTTCCAAGTGCCCCCATGATCGGATCTCCTTCCGAAAAATTCCTACGAATTTCCAACTTGTCATTATACAGTAAACACATGATACATAGTACCCAAAAATCAATTGGTGGATTTCTAAGACTCAAAATTAAGGAATTAGAAATGCCCGAAAATGTTAAAATGTCACTTTTCGGGTTTTTGTGTTAAACTTGGTATTTCTCAATCACCAAAGCATATAGATGCAAATTTCTATGGTTGTACTTAAGTAAGGCTTGTAGTATACAATGAGATATGTGGGACGGATGTGGGCGGAGTTTGCCATTTTTGGAGCATCTTTACTCGCTTTCTAAGCGCAGAAAAATATGTTGAAGGCATATTTGAGTATTGCTATATGTTTACTGTATAATTACCAAAGTTGAGGTCCGTAGGATTTTACCCTTCAAAAATCCAATTCTTAGGCGACAAATTATTTTCAATTTTGACTCAAACTTTACCTAGATTGAGACTCAGGCGGACTTTGGTGGCCATTTTGTAGAGCTTCCTTCGCTTTATCAAATGATATTCTTCTGTGAAACCAAAAACGACTCAGTTCATTTAGAAACGGGTTTACTTTTGGGACAACATAATAATTGTTAGTAGAAGGTCCGTACATCTGAGATGCTCAAAGTCATCTGAAACGCTTCTTTAGCTTCTTGATCACGACCATCCTTCAACTGAGCAACGTCATCCCAAACCGTCATCGTCGTCCCATCTTTCATTTGTACAGCTGAAACTCGGAGCTAGCTAAAGCCATGTAAAGAAAAAACGTTTAAAACTGACTGTATCCTTTTGAGTTTGTGTCGGTGAAGATGTACACGTATTCCGCATTCAAGAAACCTCCATCCTTTGCCGCTAGGATAAATAATCTCTTGTTACCGTTTCCTTCTGGCAAACAGACGGAGATGACTGAAAACAAGATATGCATTTGGCTTGATTGCGGCTGAACGTAGCAAATTCACACTTTTATGACAGCAGTCAACGATTTTGAAAATTACGTATAATTTACGCAAACTGATAACGTGCAGTAAATTTTGTTGGAATGTTGTTTTTACTGTGATTGAAATTTAGCTGAAAATCTACATTGTGGCGGCAGGAATGAATTTCTGTCCACCCACAAAAAATCTAACAGCAACCACAATAAAATTTTCTTCACGAATTTTCATCTATCTATATAGTGTGGCCCCCGGCCGGCTCCCCATATTTATCTCCGCGTCGCACACGCAACGCATGCCTTCAACGCGCCTCTTGTAGTTTCTACTGAAGGATTTGTTTATCTCTCTCTTTATTCAGTCCTGTTGCCCTATAAACTCTCTAAACATGTGTGGACTACAGTGTTAGTTGCTTACCGCACATAGCTATAAGATGCATATAAGCCGTCATATATGCAAT